ACCACCCAAGTGAAGGCTTTCATACGGGGACAATTCCATCCTAGATTTTCTGTTTTTCCTCCACCACAGACATCCCAGTGTTTCTTACTCTCTCCATTGGTGTGGAATTTACATGACCCCACCCACTGCCTCTCCCATAACCCTTTCTTATTCTTTTCTATGACACGCAGCAAACAAGAGGAATTGATCAGCAACTGAACATACTGAAGGAAGTTGGGATGAATTCACCATGATTTATAGGAATTGTAGATTCTAGGATGTATAGTTCTCCTGCAATCAAAGAGCACTCTGAACTCCACCAACGATGGACAAGCAATGAACTTGGCACACAAAACCCCCATGCTCAACAAAACATATTGGAGGTCTTTGGAGGGATTTATAGGAATTGTAGTTCACCTACATCCAGAAAGCACTGTTGACCCAAAGAACTATGGATCTGGACCAAACTTATATCAGATATGCCCAAAAATGAATACTGGTGGGTTTGGGGTTGAACTGTTCTTGATTTGGATGCTGTAGTTACTAGGATTTAAAGTTCACCTGCAATCAAAGAGAAATTCGAATCCCACCAAAGATGGACCTGGACCTAACTTGGCACACAGAACCCCCCTGACCAACAACATATAACAGAGGGCTTTGGGGGGAATTAACCTTGGTTTGGGGAGGTTATCTATATCAAGAGAGCATCCCAAATAACAATGCATAAATGCCGGATACGCTCAAATTTGAATACTAGAATAGTTTGGGAGGGATTGACCTTGATTTTTGGAGTTGCCGTTCACTTACAACCAGAGAAACAGTGAACCCCACTGATGATGGACCTGAATCAAACTTGGCACATAGAACGCCCCTGACCAACTGAAAATACTAGAGAGGTTTGGAGGGAACTAAACTTCATTTCTGGGAGTTGTAGTTCACTTACATCCAGAGACACTGTGACCACCACTGATGACGGATCTGGACCAAACTTGGCACATGGAATCCCCTACTGGAGGGATTTGAGGGGACTGACCAACCATGGTGGGAGTTGTAGTTTACCCCACAACCAGAGAGCACACTGAACCCACCGATGATGCACCTAGAGCAAACTTGCCCAACAGAACAAACTTTAAAAACTGATAGAGTTTTTTGGGGTTAACCTGCCATGATGTGAGTTGTAGTTCACCCACAACCTTATGCATTTTGCACAATTAAATAATTGACTTTTTCAAATAACCTGTGCAACGCCGCATACCCAAGCTAGTTATAAAATAAAAACAAAACAGTGGTATTATACAAATCATAAGGATACATTGTTCTTCCTCCACTTATGACAACTGCAATTCCTCATTTTTAAGCAAAACATTCAGATCTTCCTCTCTTGCCTCCCACCTAAAAAAGCAAGGACTGCCTGAGGAGCTCTTGGGATAAAGTTACTATGTTGCGTGCTTAATGAAGCCATGGAGGCCCTAATGTTACAAAATGCTTAGATATGGACTACTAAAGAGGAAATATCTGGAGGGTACATTTATGAGGAGCCAATCTGGAACTATGAGTGCATTGGGTGACTTTAGACAAGTCACTCTCTCTCAACCTCAAGCCTTATTGGATCAAATTTTGACATTCCTTCATAGCACCCTAGAGGTTAGAAAGACTCCAAGGGTCATCCAGTCCAACCCCATTCTGCCACAAGGGAACACCCAATCAAAGACTTCCTGACATATGGCCATCCATCAGGAGACTCCGCCACAACTCAAGATAGCATATTATACTGCCGAGCACTGAAGTTCTTCCTAACGTGGTGGTGGACTCTCTTTTCCTACCATTTGAATCCATGCCTCCATTGGATCCCAGTCTCCAGAGCCACAGAAAGCAAGCCGGCTCCTTCCTCAATATGGCATCCCTTCCAATATTTACATGTGTGGCCTCTCAACCTTCCCATATGTGCAGTTTCGTCATGTAGTCTTAACAGCATCGTACAGGTCTACACTGCCGTACAATGCAGTTCAATGCAGCCTTATGAAACTGCATTATATGGCCATGTCAATAGGGACTGAATATGTCTATGCAATACTCCTACAAAGCTGGAACCCTAACCACAGACATTCCAGTGTTTCAGACTCTCTCCATTGGTGTGGAATTTGCATAGTGACACCCTCTGCCTCTCCCATAACCCTTTCCTATTCTTTTCTATGCCACACAGCAAACAGAGGAATTGATCAGCAACTAAACACACTAGAGAGGTTTGGGGAGAATTCATCATGATTTATAGGAGTTGTAGGTACTAGGATGTATAGTTTGCCTGCAATCCAAGAGCACTCTGAACTTCACAAATGATGGACCTGGAAATAACTTGGCACACAGAACTCCCATGACCAACACAAAATACTGGAGGTCTTTGGAGGGATTTAGGAGTTGTAGTTCACCTACATCAGTGGTTCTCAACCTGGGGGTCCCCAGGTGTTTTTGGCCTACAGCTCCCAGAAATCTCAGCTGGTTTATCAGCTGTAAGGATTTCTGGGAGTTGAAGGCCAAAAACATCTGGGGACCCCAAGTTGAGAACTACTGACCTACATCCAAAGCACACTAATTTGATTACTAGAAGGGTTTGGGGGGAACTGACCTTCCTTTCTGGGAGTTGTAGTACATTCACAACCAGAGAAACTGTGATCTCCACAGATGATTGACCTGGACCAAACTTGGCACATAGAACCCCCATGACTAACTCAACCTGCTGGAGAGGTTTGAGGGGACTGACTCACCATAGAACCCCCATGACCAGCAAAAATACTGGAGGTCTTTGGGAAAAATTCACCTTGTTTTGGGGGAGTTGTAGTTCACCTACATCCAGAGAACATTGTGAACCCAAATACCAATGGATTTGGACCAAACTTGCCACACATACCTGATATGCTGAAGTTTGATTACTGGAGGGGTTTGGGGGGAACTAACCTTCCTTTCTGGGAGTTGTAGTTCACCCGCAGCAGAAAAATTGTGACCTCCCCTGAAGATGGACCTGGACAAAACTTGGCACGTAGAACCCCCATGACTAACTCAACCTACTGGAGGGGTCTGAGGGGACTGACTCACCATAGTGGGAGTTGTAGTTTGCCCTACCACCAGAAAGCACACTGAACCCAACTGATGATGCATCTAGAGCAAACTTGCCCTACATAACAAACTTTAAGAACTGATGGAGTTTCTCGAGGTTAACCTGGCATGATGTGAGTTGTGGTTCACCCACAACCATATGCATTTTGTACAATTTAGGAGCTCCCGGTGGCGCAAAGGGTTAAACCTTGTGCCAGTAGGACTGCTGACCGACAGGCCAGTGGTTCGAATCCAGGGAAAGGAGGTTGAGCTCCCTCTGTGAGCTCCAGTTCTCCATGCGGGAACGTGAGAGAAGCCTTCCACAAGGATGGTAAAACATAAAAAAAAAATACCCGGGAACGTTGTTGCAGGTGACCAATTCTCTCACACCAGAAGCGACTTGTAGTTTCTCAAGTCGCTCCTGACACAAACACACGCATTTATCTCACACCAGAAGTGACTTTTAGTTCCTTTTTTAAAAAAATATATATTTTTATTCATTTTACCAAAAGTAACATAAAACCACAATACACATACTGAAAAGAAACAGAACCAAATAAAAAGTAAGAGAGAGGGAGAAAAAAGAAAAGAAAAAATATATGAAAAATATAAAAATAAAATAAGATAAAGTTACTTCTGTTCTTCCTCCTTTCACCCCAATAATAAAGAAAAACTTTCTTCGATAGTCCCAACAAAGATTATAATTTTCCCTCAGTCTTTGTCAAAAATCCTCTTATTTGCCATCCTTATTAATATAGTCTTCAAAAATTGTCCAATCCGTCATTTTTATTCCCTTTCCGTCACTTGATTTTAGCAGAAATGTCAGTTTATCCAAGTCCTTAATTTCCATTATTTTGTCCAATCATTGGGTCTTAGAGGGAATTAACTCCATTTTCCAAAACTTACCAAAAGTCATTCTCGCCACAGTCACAAAAAAGTGAACCATTTATCAACATTTAAATCTTTAAATAACTCAAGTTGCTCCTGACACAAAAGACACAATTTTCTCTCACACCAGAAGTGACTTGTAGTTTCTCAAGTCGCTCCTGACACAAACACACACCATTTTTTTTAAAAAATGACTTTTTCAAATATTCCCAAATAAATAGATAAATAAAATTGACTTTTTCAAATAATCCCAAATAAATAAATAAATAAAATCAACTTTTCTCAAATAATCCCAAATAAATAAATAGATAAAATCAACTTTTTTCAAATAATCCCAAATAAATAAATAAATAAATAAATAAAATCAACTTTTTCAAATAATCCCAAACTAGTCGTAACTTTGCATAAACCAAACAAAAACTCAACGTAAACAAATAGTACACAACCAACGCAAACCTTGAGAGCACAAAGTCTCAGGACTCTAAACCACTGCCAAATAATCCAGATTGTTTCGAACTGGATTATAGGAGTCTACACTGCCATATAGTCAGATAACCTGGATTTTATATGGCAATGTAGATGGGGGCTAAGGCTGACCACCCACAAGGGTCTGTGTACACCAGACCTGGGCCTCCAGGTGCTTTGGACTCCAACTCCCATCATTCCTAACTTTGGACTCCAACTCCCATCATTCCTAACAGCCTCAGGCCCTTTCCTTTTGCCCTTAAGCGGCTGAGGGGCAAAAGGAAGGGGCCTGAGGCTGTTAGGAATGATGGGAGTTGGAGTCCAAAGTTAGGAATGATGGGAGTTGGAGTCCAAAGCACCTGGAGGGCCCAAGTTAGCCCATACCTGCTCTAACTGACCATACAATGCAATTTCACACTATTTCCAATGCTCACAACTTCAGAAAAGTTTGCAAAACTCTGCCCTTGGAGATGGGAAACCTCCCCACACTTTCCTCCTTCCAAGGCTCTCCTTCCAATGAGAAAAAAAGGACTTTTTGGGAACACAAAGGAGAAAAAGAAAAAGGCACTCTTGCTCACCGCCACGCGTGACTCCAGAGACACGGAGGAAAAGGAGAAGGAGGAGGAAGCCAAGGGGGAAATGGCCGCTGGCCCAGGGTTCCTCCTCTTCTTCTTCTTCCTCTCCTTTTTCTTCTTCTTCTGCTTCTGCCTGTTGCTCGCCTTGCACCGACGGGGACGCGAGCGCGCGCCCGAGGAGGAGGGAGCGCGCGCTGCCCCCTCCAAACGACGCCTGCGCAGAACAGCGCCTTCCAAACTCGGAAAGAGTGGGGAAACTTTTTTCTTTGGGGCTTCGTTCAGCTCCCACGCTTCGGCTGCAGGGATTCCCGTGAGCGCCACCTACTGAGCGGATGGGAGGAGGACACTTTGCAAACAAAGGGATGCTTAGAGGGTCTGGGCACTAGGAAGTTGAGGCAGTTTGGGACACAGTTTGGGTACATCTATACTGTGGAACTGATGCAGTTTGCACCATTTTGGGTGTATCTGCACTCTGGAATTGATGCAGTGTGGCACCAGTTTGGGTGCATGTGCACTGGGGAACTGATGCAGTTTGGCACCACTTTGGGTGCATCTATACTTTGGAATCGATGCAGTTTGGCACCACTTTGGGTGCATCTATACTGTGAAACTGATGTAATTTGGCACCACTTTGGGTGTATTTATACTTTGGAAGTGATGCAGTTTGGCATCACTTTGGGTGCATCTATACTTTGGAATGGATGCAGTTTGGCATCACTTTGGTTGCATCTATACTGGGGAACTGATGCAGTTTGGCATCACTTTGGTTGCATCTATACTGGGGAACTGATGCAGTTTGGCACCACTTTGGGTGTATCTACACTCTGGAATTGATGCAGTTTGGCATCACTTTGGGTGCATCTATACTGTGAAACCGATGTAATTTGGCACCACTTTGGGTGTATTTATACTTTGGAATTGATGCAGTTTGGGACTGCTTTGAGTGCATCTATACTTTGGAACTGGTGCAGTTTGGCACCACTTTGGGTGCATCTACACTGTGGAATAGATGTAATTTCACACCACTTTGGGTGTTTCTACACTGTGGAATTGATGCAGAACTGATGCAGTTTAGCACCACTTTGGGTGCACCTACACTGTAGAACTGGTGCAGTTTGGCACCACTTTGGGTACATCTATACTTTGAAACTGATGCAGTTTGGACCACTTTGGGTGCATCTACACTTTTGAACTGATGCAGTTTGGCACCACTTTGGGTACATCTATACTGTAGAACTGATGCAGTTTGGCACCACTTTGGGTGCATCTATACTGTAGAACTGATGCAGTTTGGCACCACTTTGGGTACATCTATACTGTGGAACTGATGCAGTTTGGCACCACTTTGGGTACATCTATACTGTAGAACTGATGCAGTTTGACACCACTTTGGGTGCATCTATACTGTGGAACTGGTGCAGTTTGGCACCACTTTGGGTGCATCTACACTGTAGAACTGATGCAGTTTGGCACCACTTTGGGTGCATCTATACTGTGGAACTGGTGCAGTTTGGCACCACTTTGGGTGCATCTACACTGTAGAACTGATGCAGTTTGGCACCACTTTGGGTGCATCTACACTGTGGAATAGATGTAATTTCACACCACTTTGGGTTTTTCTACACTATGGAATTGATGCAGTTTGGCACCACTTTGGGTGCATCTACACTGTAGAACTGGTGCAGTTTGGCACCACTTTGGGTACATCTATACTTTGGAACTGATGCAGTTTGGACCACTTTGGGTGCATCTACACTGTTGAACTGATGCAGTTCGGCACCACTTTGGGTGCATCTACACTGTAGAACTGATGCAGTTTGGCACCACTTTGGGTGCATCAGCACTGTGGAATCCATGCAATTTGCATCACTTTGGTGCATCTACACTGTGGAACTGGTGCAGTTTCATACCACTTATAGAATCATAGAATCAAAAAGTTGGAAGAGACCTCATGGGCCATCCAGTCCAACCCCCTGCCAAGAAGCAGGAATATTGCATTCAAATCACCCCTGACAGATGAGCATCCAGCCTCTGCTTAAAAGCTTCCAAAGAAGGAGCTTCCACCACACTCCGGGGCAGAGAGTTCCACTGCCGAACGGCTCTCACAGTCAGGAAGTTCTTAGTTGCATCTACACTGTGGAATAAATGCTATTTCGCACCACCGTGTGTGTATCTACAGTGTGGAATAGATGTAATTTGGCACCACTTTGGGTGCATCTATACTGTGGAATCCATGCAGTTTGGCATCACTTTGGTGCATCTACACTGTGGAATAGATGTAATTTGGCACCACTTTGAGTGCATCTACACTGTGGAATCCATGCAGTTTGGCATCACTTTGGTGCATCTACACTGTGGAATAGTTGTAATTTGGCACCACTTTGGGTGTTTCTACACTGTGGAATCCATGCAGTTTGGCACCACTTGGGGTGCATCTACAGTAGTTGTAGTGCAAAAAACACTTTAAAGCAATACAATAATTAAAATGAAGAACAATTTTAACAAATATAAACTTATTAGTATTTCAATGGGAAGTATGGGCCTGATTTTGGCTGATGAGATAGGATTGTTGTTGTTGTTGTTGTTGTGTGCTTTCAAGTCATTTCTGACTTAGGTTGACCCTGAGCGAGGGCCGGGTAAATGATCTTGGAGGGCCGTATCTGGCCCCCGGGCCTTAGTTTGAGGACCCCTGATCTACACTGTGGAATAGATGTAATTTGGCACCACTTTGGGTTACTTTCAGAAATTCAACAACTACCATGGTTCTATTGCATCCAGGTATGAGACTTAAAGTGGTGTCAAACTGCATTGATTCTACATTGTAGATGCCATGGTGTGAGATCAAACCAATAGGAAGAGCAATAAGAAAAAAAAACAGATTTCTTGTCTGTTTAATGGGGAGGTAGAGCTAATTAGAAATAGTTTGAGCCAACTAAATATAGAGATTTTGATTTGGACAGATAAGAATAGATTAAGTAAGAAGAGGGAACTGGAAGTCTGAATAGCATACGGGATGCTGAGCGGACAGAAAGAGTTGAAGGAGTTCACTTTGTTCGAGAAGGAGTGTTTCAGTGCACTGTGTGCGGAACCAGCATAAAGCTAGGTGTTTATCTTGGCCGGAATCCAGTATTAGCTTATGCTTAACTAAGGACTTAACTGTTTCATATTCATGGTTGCTACTTTAGGGCACGCCCACACAGGCCAAATGGCTGCAGGTTAATGAGTAAAACCAGAAGTGTATCTATGAGAAGCGGCACAAGGAGGGCATTGCTATCTCAAAAAGAATGTGGCCCCAACATTTTCCTGCAGCTCCCACATATCTAACATCACAGAGGCTGGTTCTACATCAGCGTTTCTCAACCTAAAATTTGGGACCGGGGGGGGGGGGGGGGGGGGGGTCTCAAAGGGGTCATCAAAGACCATCAGAAAACACAGTACTTTCTTTTGGTCATGGGGGTTCTGTGTGGGAAGTCTGGCCCAATTCTACCATTGGTGGGGTTCAGAATGCTCTTTGATTGTAGGTGAACTATAAATCCCAGCAATTACAACTCTCAAATGTCAAGGTCTACTTTCCTCAAACTCCACCAGTGTTCATATTTGGGCATATTGATTATTCGTGCCAAGTTTGGTCCAGATCCATCATTGTTTGAGTCCACAGTGCTCTCTGGATGTAGGTGAAAAACAACTCCAAAACTCAAGATCAGTGCACACCAAACCCTTCCAGTATTTTCTGTTATCATGGGAGTTCTGTGTGCCAAGTTCAGTTCAATTCCATCATTGGTGGAGTCAGAATGCTCTTTTATTGTAGGTGAACTATACATCCCAGAAACTACAACTTCCAGATGTCTATTTTCCCAAAATCCACCAGTGTTCACATTTGGACTTATTTATTATTTGAGCCAAGTTTGGTCTAGTTTGGTCCGGATTTGCTCTTTGATTGTAGGTGAACTATAAATCCTAGCAACTACAAGTTTGAAATGTCAAATCTATTTCTCCCAAAATCCACCAGTGTTCACATTTGTGCATATTGAGTATTCATGCCAAGTTTGGTCCAGAGCCATAATTGTTTGAGTCCACAGTGCTCTCTGGATGTTGGTGAACTACAACTCCAAAACTCAAGGTCAACTTTTCCAGCATTTTCTGTTGGTCTGGGTGCCAGGTGTGGTTCAATTGCATCCTTGGTGGAGTTCAGAATGCTCTTTGATTGTAGGTTAACTATAAATCTCAGCAGCAACAACTCCCAAATGACAAAATCAACCCCCCCCCCCCCCCCCCCCCCCCCCCCCCCCCCCCCCCCCCCACAACCCCACCAGTGTTCAAATTTGGGCGTATCGGGTATTTGTGCCAAATTTGGTCCAGTGAATGAAAATACATTCTGCATATCAAATATTTACATTACAATTAATAACAGTTGCAAAATTACAGTTATGAAGTAGCAACGAAAATATTTTTTGTGGTTGGGGACAGCACAACATGAAGAACTGTATTAAGAGGTCACTGCATTAGGAAGGTTGAGAAACACTGTTGAACATTATACAGTCAGTGTAAGTTGCATTATATTGTCAGCACAGAACCATATAATGCTGCTCACTCTGCATTATATGGATACACACTGACCATTGAATGTAGTTCAATGTGGTGTAGAACTTAAAGTGAAACCATGCAAGCCAGCACACTTAGAAGTCTTCTACAGATATACATTGGTTAACTAGGGCCACATCTACAATGCTATATAATGTTGTATTACACTGCATTATATGGTTAGTGTAAACCTGGTGTAAAGGTAAAGGTAGAGGTAAAGGTAAAGGTAAAGGTTTTCCCCTAACATGAAGTCCAGTCATGTCTGACTCTGGGCGTTGGTGCTCATCTCCATTTCTAAGCCAAAGAGCCGGCATTGTCTGTAGACACCTCCAAGGTCATGTGGCCAGCATGACTGCATGGAGTGTCATTACTTTCCCGCCAGAGCGGTACCGATTGATCTACTAACATTTGCATGTTTTCGAACTGCTAGGTTGGCAGAAACTAGGGCTAACAACGGAAGCTCATGCGGCTCCCCGGATTCGAACCTGCAACCTTTTGTCAACAATCCCAACAGTTCAGCAGTTTAACCACTGCGCCATCAGGGTTTTGCTGCATTATATGAGTCTACACCAGGTATGGGC